TTTCTTTTTGCTTATGTGGTGCTGAGGAATCGAACCCAGGGCCTCATGCATGCAAGGCAAGTGCTCTACCACTGAGCCACCTTCCCAGCCCAGTTCTTTATGGTTTTAACCTCTGGCATGGATTTACAAAGATAGGCTGTTGGCTACATGTGTATATACATCTTCGGAAGACAGTTGATAACATAGCTTGTTTCTCTTCTGATTTAAGGTCATTTTGAGTGTCCCCCTTACAATTCGTCCACCATAAGGAGTATATATCATGTGAGAAATATTGAAGTCTATAAATTAAAACAGGTATGTAAAAAGTCCATTACAGCAGACTTGAGAGGGGAAAAAAAAATAAAAGTTCAGTGATTTGGTACCAGAATGCATTTTGATCCTCTTCATATGGTACTTCGGAGAACAGCAATTTGATATTTCTAAAATTTAGCATTTGAATTGCTTTTAGGAGGTTCACAGATGGCCAGACCTTTGTTTCTTAATAGCTAACAATTCTTTTTAAGGACTTAAGGTAAAAGTAACGAATTATGTATAAAAGCCAAGCATTGTGGTTCATGATTATAATCCCAGCTGTGGGATATTTAAGATGGTCCCTGAGGCAGAGAGAAGCTGTTTCTGTCTGTTTAGATGTGTGTGTAGCTTCCTGCGTGAGGATGGGCCCCCGCGATGAGTTCTGCGGAGAAGTTCCGGACATCTCCGTGGTGGGCATCAAGTGGATGGGATTGTTCTGGTTACTTCAGCTCTTGTTCAGAGTTTTCTTTCCTGTTCTGTTCTTAAAAGCTGAAGCAGCCTATAGATGTATTCTTATCTCATGATTGGCCCAGAAGTATCTATCACTATGGAAATAAGAAGCAACTCCTGAAGACCAAGTCTTTTTTCCGCCAAGAGGTGGAGAATAACACGCTGGGCAGCCCCGCCGCCTCGGAACTCCTGGACCATCTGAAGCCCACTTACTGGTTCTCCGCGCACCTGCACGTCAAATTTGCAGCCTTGATGCAGCATCAGGTAGAGAGCCAAGTCCTTCCTCTTTGTCTCTCATCAGCACTCACTGAACACTCGTGAACTAGACGCAGTGGGCGCAGCTGTACAGCTAGAGAGAGAAATGAGAGTTCACTCACCTCTTCTGAGTAGCTCAGCACAGAAAGTGATCAAGAAACCAGCAATTACAAAGCAGTCTGAGCTTGGTGGGAAATTGTCAGGCGTTGTGGGAGCTCTACACTGGCTTGGTGCAGTGGAGAGGGAGATTGAGGGCGGAGCTGAGCCCTGCAATGCCAGGAAGAAATAGCCTCTTTCCTTTTTTTCAGCCATTCCTAGGGTTTTGAACTCGGGGCCTGGGGACTGTCCCTGAGCTTCTTTTGCTCAAGGCTACCACTTGAGCAATAGCGCCACCTCTGGCTTATGTGTAGATGGTACTGAGGAATGGAACCCGGGCTAGGCAAGCACTCTACCACTAAGCCACATTCCCAGCTCACGTGTGTCTTTTTGGTTTCTCAGTGTTGTGTTATGCTGTTAGTAAGGTTTGACCTCAGGGCTTTAAGCTCTTATTTCTTTTGTTTTAATTCAAGTGTGGTGCTCTACCACTTGAGCCACAGCCCTACTTTTGGCTATTTGCTGATTAACTTAGATAAGCGGCTCATGGACTTTTCTGCCCAGGCTGGCTTTGAACTTCAATCCTCAGATCTCAGCCTCTTTTTTTTTTTTTTTT